CAAATTTATAATTATACTTTATTCATAAAATTTTATTATTATAGGATATTATAAATACTCTGTATATTATAGCAATTTATTATTTTAAATAAATGATTTAATTTGCACCTCTTATATATTATAGTTCACAATAACACACTAGAAAATGATCCTTTGTTTATTATGATAATTCTTACTATTTTGATTTTTTTAAAAACATAACAAACAAAATCATTCAAGTTTATTCATTGTACTGTAAATTTAGTAATTTAAGACGATAAAATATTTTTTAAAATTTACCTTTTTTTCATATACATGAGAATTAATTATTATATTATGTAAAAATTATTTAAATATATTTTGGGGAAAATATTATTTTTATTCCAATATTAATACTATAGAATTATCAATAATATAAAATTTATATATTAACGCGAAGTAAACTGATTATCATATAGATAAGAATAACATATTGAAAAATTCAATGTTGTAATATAATTTATATAAATATATATAATAGTCTAATATGTAAATAAATTCTATAAATGATAAAAGTTAAACTTCATCTCTAAAACATGAATATATAGAGCGTAAAATAAAACGCTATGCTGAAACAAAAAAGATAAATTCTAAAAAAATAAAATATATAAGGTAATGGGAATTTTGAATGAAGTAAAAATGTGAACTATATAAAATTATGAGCGAAATGGCGCATTTATAATATTCTATATTTCTAGTAAACATATGATTTTGGAAGTACATACTTTTTGAAAAGCTGAACAAGAAGTATATAATAAATAATATTTAATATAGTAATAATAATGTATTTATCAAAAAAACGGTAGTTTACAAATGGATTAAATTAATTTTATGTGCAGTATGTGGTTTTATATATAAATTGAATATTTTTACTGTGCAAATATATGACTAATATGTGAAAATATATCTTTTGTTATATATACAATATATGCATTAAAAAAAATGTAGGTTCATAAATAGAAAAAATACCATTTCACAGATTAACTTTTTAAAAATTATTCTTTTGACTTCTAAGGATATTAATTGATTAATCTAAAAATTTTCATCAGTATGTCAATTAATAAAGAAGTGAATATGTATTAATGTACAAAAATTATTCCTTAATATTGAACTGGAAATATAGCTGAGATAACATTCATTAAACTCAGATAATATTATATTATACTTAAAAAATTCAAATTATATAACAGTTCTATACAATATTTTTATGGTTTCTTTAAGATCATAATGAAATTCATAATAAATATGTTAAAAAAATTATACGAATCCTTAGGCCTTTGTATATATATGAATTATAAAAATCATTGGTAAATATTTACTCTTTTAAAAATGTTTGGATATATTTATAATATTTAAAATATATTGTTCATTATAGTCAACTAACTCTTCTTAAATATGTATAATTTTTTGAACACATATTTTAAAAATTTACAAAACAAAAGAAGATTCACTATAATTTAAAATTTACGTATGATTAATAAATGCATTTAGTAATTAGGATAATTGCAAAGTATATTATTGCTTCACAGAAACTATTTTTCAATGATGTAACAATAAAATGGAAAAAGACGAAGAAAAATACTTCACAATTTAAAAAGTTATAAATCATCCCCAATTATAATTATGATTAAT